CACACACACACACACACACACACACACACACACACACACACACACACACAGAGAGAGAGATCAATACACACACTTTACTGCTATGAGTCTTTAAGCATGTTGATGCGTGCAAAGATCTTGAGTGCAGGCCCCAGTTTAATGTTCATGGTGCTCATGAGATGGTCTTCCTTTAACAGGAGCAGGGCCTGTCCATCGATCTCCTGAGACCGAAACTCGTCCGCGATCTCCTGACAACCTGCGTGAACAGGAAAAACAGGCTTGTGTCAACACAGTCGAACAGGATTCATAGGCAAAAATAGACAAGTGATTGATTCAGAACATTGATGAATGCACTTCCTGAAAAACTAACCTGGCAGTGAACAAATGAACTCGTAAACTTCTTCAACATTCCACTTGGTGGGGTCATTGGGCAAGAACCGCTGACAGAGTGAAGGTGCATCTCTCCCAGCGCCACCCTCCTGGTCCGAGGCCCTGCTCGGTTGCCGGCGAACGGGGACCTGAGCCGGGGCCGGGGTCGGAGCGAGGGGGTCTGAGCTGGCTGGTGATAGGGGAGACGGTGGCTCCTCGTAGCTGGACATGTCCGAGCACGGGCTGGATTCCTCTTGACTGGGTTGCGAGGGATGTGGCGAGGACACAGAGCCCCCTTGTGTCTGCTGTGGCAACTGGGAAAGCTTCTGAAAAGGGGAAACATTCAGGTTTGACGTCAAGGATCTACATTTTGAGAAATGAACGGCTCATCAGTTAAACACTCCTGGGACATAATGTAAGTCACAGAAAGATTTAAGGGGTAATAAGTAAGATTTATACTGTACAACAGCTTCAAATGACTATATACACCTGCAGGGAGTTGATATGAGTGTTGGACTGATACCAAAGCCTTAATGATTCATTTGTCGGGTGCTGAACCTTCTTGATTATAAAACTCACAAATTGGTCCAGACATGAGACAAAAGCAACCCCAACTGGATATTCCAGACTGAACCCTTGAGACATTATATAACTCGAAATATTTGGGCTTGAAAAGATTGTCCTTAAGCCAAAACATATTTTTCTGCATTAAATACTGTAATGTCAAAGACTTTAGAAAAATCAAAGAGGTAAAAACTGTCTGAATAACGTGCGCAGGAGGCAGAAAATCTTAACCGACAGTTTCCCGTTTTTAACGGTCACCAGTAAAGGTTGACAAGGATCATAGAGCACGTAATGACCCTTTAAAGGCAGAGGGAGATGATCAGGCACCGGCACAAATGATGCTTCAATTCATTAAAAGGCATGAGGTGTGAAAAGTGCAGAGTACAAAATGTGCAGGAGAGGCAGTATGTAATGGGAGGTAAAGTGTTGATGAGGAAGTTTTACAGCATGGAAGGACTGAATGTGTGTGTGTGTGTGTGTGTGTGTGTGTGTGTGTGTGTGTGTGTG